TCTTTTTTTTGTCATGGAAGGTGTAAGTCAGTAGCAAAAGGGAGTACTGCAGAGTTGGAGTCATTGTGGTGATAAGAATGACTGCTTGAAAGGACGAGAACCCTGGCACAGTTATTACTTTTTACACAGGAAAGCAACTTTTCACAGAATGGTTTGGATTTATACTTGATAAAAATGGATCTTAACTGAAATACCACTAGCTTCCTTGAAGGCAATGAGTTATTGTTTTACTGTCAGGTCAGAACTGACTCATAGCTGACCCTCCGTGGGTGTTCTTCATTATAATATTTTACTATGTCTTCTCAAGCTTCCCTTTGAAATCTTCTGTTCAGTTACTTCTTTTCTTTCAGTATCTCTTCCTTTTGTTTTGGCTTCACGACACTTCAGTGCGATGTTCAGTCTCTTCTGACATCCATTTTGGTTTTTTCTTTCTTTTCTGTCTTTTTAAAAATTATTTTTATTGTTTTATTTTTGTGTGTGTACTATCAAATCATATCTGACTGGTACAGGAGGAGATTGTCCCTCCTTCTCCAGCAGAACATCTAGTGGATTTGAACTGTGCACCTCTGGGATCGCAGTGCAGCTTCCTGCCACTAGGCCACCAGAGCTCCCTTCTTTTCTGTCTTTGAAATGTCCTTTCACTCTATATAGAGGATCTCTTTGATGTCACCTCACAGTTCTTTTGGATTTCGATCATTGGTGTTCAATGCCTCAAACCTGTTCTTGAGATGATTCTTAAATTCAGGTGGAATAGACTCAAGGTTGTATTTTGGTTCTTGTTGACTAGTTTTCATTTTTTTCAGCATCAGTTTGAACTTTTACATGAGTAATTCATGGTCTATTCCACAGTCAGCAGCTGCTCTGGTATTGACTAATTAAAATTAACTTCTCAATGACTCTTCTCACAGATACAGTAAAATTCCTGAGAAGTCTACCAGGTAAAGTCTGTGTGTAGAGTTGCCTTTTGTGTTCTTTTTAAAAAGTTTTTTTTTATAAAATAAATCGTTGAATGGACAATATTCGATCATTGTATTTCCAGCCTCATTTCTGTCACCAAGTCTGATCATTCTTTCCTCATTGTTTCCAACTTTTGCCGTCCAGTCATGAATAATTATTAATACATCTTGATTTTCATTAGACTTTTTAAAGAACAGTTTATAGATTTACAGAAAAATGTATAGAAAGTACAGAGATATCCTAAGCACCCCCACTTCTTGCACACCCTATCTCCTGTTAACACCTTGTATTCTTGTGATACATTAAAATATTTAATGATTTCATGTTGATTTCTTAAGTCTATTCTTGGTATTGTACATTCCTCTAGATTTTGAACAAATGCATATTCTCCTGTAGAATAGTGGAGACAGAACAGTATCATACAGAATATTTTCACTGCCCCCAAAACTTCCTATGCTCTCCCTAGTCACCCACTCACCACTTCCCTGAACCACTCATCTTTTCATTATCCATAAAGTTTTGCCTTTTCTAGAATGTCAGCTAGTTGAAGTCATACAGTCTGTAGCTTTTCTTGAGTACCTTTGCTTGCTGTTGAGTGTCCTCTGTGGGTTTTCACACCTTGAGAGCTCATTTTATCACTGTCTAATACTCTTTGTATGGATGTATGGAGCTCTGGAAACATAGTCAATTGGGAGTTTTCCTGATAAAGCAAAGGCCTCACTTCTCTGTCAATTTGAATACACAATGTTCTCCAAGGGAGAAAAATGGGCAATATCCTCTCATATGATTTACCCCTTTAGAAACCCAGTGGAAGGTCATCTATGAATTAGTTTCATGAACCAGTGGCAGTGAGTTTGAGTTTTTTGAGCATGGATGTACCTCGGTTTATTTATACATTCTTCTATTAAAGGATATCTTGGTTGCTTCTAATCTTTAGCACTTAATAATAAAGTTGCTGTAAACATGTGTGCAGTTTTTTATGTGGATGTAAGTTTTCAACTTATTTGTACAGATATCCAGAAACATGATTGCTGGTCTGTACGGTCAGCTTCCACATAGCTGTTTAAGAAACTGTCAGGATGTCTTCCAAAATGGATAGATCATTTTGTATTCCTACCTGTTAGATAGAGAGAAAAAAGTTGAGGACAAGAGAGAAAAAAAAAGAAACTGGTCCCAAGAAACGAACAGGCCTTTATTGGGTGGTCTGAGAGGGATGCCAAGTGACAGATCACACATGGAGACAGTCAAAATGATGTGAGGACAGTCAAGGGTGGGCTCTTTTATAGAGGTTTCAAGGAAGGTGGCATTTGACTCAGAATTTGGGGCTGTTAATTAACTTGGGCTTTTTTTTGTTAACTTTTGACTTTTGTGATCAGGTCCAGAGCCTTATCAGGATCCACTGTCTGGTCTTGTCTTTAATCTGGTCTCTGTTCTGGTCCTTAGACATTATCAAGCTTCTTTAAGGAATTATAAGGCCCGGGGCATCTCCTACCTTTCCCCTCTCCTCCAGACAATGGGAGTTCCTATTATTCTACATCCTTTGCCAGCATTGCAGCAGGGCAGTATCCTTTCTCTGTAACTATTCAATCTGCATGTTGAGTGAATCATTGAGAAACTGGACTTTATGAAGAAGAATGTGGCATGACTGGAGGAAGATTCATCAACAGCCTGCGTTATGCAGATGACACAACCTTGCTGGCTGAAGGCAAGGAGGACTGGAGGCGCTTGCTGCATAAGATCAAGATCTTTAATCTGGATTACATCTTGCCATCAGGAAAACAAAAATCCTCACCATTAGGACAATAGGTAACATCATGATAGATGGACAAAGGATTGAAACTGCCAATGACTTCATCTTACTTGGATTCACAATCAACACTCATGGTACCTGCGGTCAGGAGATGTATAGCTTTGGAAGTCTGCTGTCCAGGACCTCTCCAAAGTCTTGAAAAGCAATGTGATTGTTAGGCGCTGTCAAGTCAATTAAGACATAGTGACCTGAAGAAAAAGAGATCTAAACCTGTACGAACAGGAGATCCAAACTTGTCCTGTACCAATCTCATTATTTCTGACATTCTCAAGCCCATTGCTGCAGTCACTGTGTCAATTCATCTGGTTAGGGGTCTTCCTTTCTTTCACCAATCTTCCACCTTTCCAAGTATGATGTCCTTTTCCAAGGATTAGCTTCTCCTGACAACATGCCCAAAATATGAGACATTTTGTCCTCTTTGCCTCCAGGAAGTATTCTTGCTGCACTTTCTCCAGCACATATCTGTTTGTTCCTTAGGCAGTCCATAGGATAATCAGTACGCTTGTCCAACACCACAGCTCAAAGGCATTCATCCAGTCTTCTGTCATCCTTATTCATTGTCAGTGAAGGAAGACCCTCAGTGAGCTGGATTGATGCAGTGACCATAGCAATGGGCTCAAGTGTGTCAGAGATGATCAGAATGGCTCAGGATAGGAGAGGGTTCCGATCTGTTGTTCATATGGTCAACCTGAGTTGCATTCAACTCAAGGGCACCTAATGATATTACCACGGAAGAAAGATGGGCAATCTCCTACTTTTCAATATACAGCCACTGAACACTGCTAGAGGACTAACTATGAGTCAGTTCCAACTCAACAGCACAACAGAAAGAGGAAATTACCATGGTGGTTGATTGTGGATCCAAGTAGGCTGAAGTAATTGACAACTTCAATCTTTTTTTTTTCTACCACGATGCCTACTGGCCCAGTGGTAAGGATTTTTTTCTTAATTTTGGAATATCCATTTCCAAAGCTGGAAAAGATAAAAAGTCTTTTTATCTCTTCCAGTCCTTTTCACTTTCAGGAAGCAAAATTGTGTTAACTGCATATTGCAGGTTGTTGGTGAGTCTTCCTCCAACCCTGATACCACATTCTTCTTCATATAGTCCAGTTTTTGAAATATGTTTAATTTAATTTAGCATACAATTAAGTTTAATTTAGCATGCAAATTGAACAGGCATGGAGAAAGGACACACTCCTGATGCACACCTTTCAGCATTGCATGGTAACCTTATTTAGACCCTACTTTCAAATTACTTTTCTGGGATTATGTGTCCTTATTCAAAGATTCACATTGAAAATGTGGAGAAAGGATAAAAAGTAGAGCAGCTGAAACATATTCAACAAAGCTGTCTTGTATTTTGGTAGCCAGATGGTAATTACACAGCCATAGTCTTTTTTTACTAAAAGGCAACATTTTATTGAGGATGATCTGTGCCAAGGTAAAACCAGGGTTCTGTTACTATGACTAAGAGGCAATGATGTTTTCGAATTAGTAGTTCTGCATCTCTCAGCCTTGAAATCCCTAGGATTCTTCCAACCCACTTTATATGCTAAATGAGGGGGCTTTTTAAAATTGGCTTGGGATTTTTCTTTATTTATTTGTTTTTCCCCAGTCTGAAGTCAGTACTCAGAACAGGAATTGCAACTGTAAAGGTCGCCCGAGGAATGATAGGACCCAGTTCAGGCCCTGATAGACAGTTTATTGAGAAGACACTGCCGGGCTGGCTCTTAAGCAGGAAACCAGCCCCCACTGAAAGTTAGAGAGGGGTTTTATATTCTTACGTGGAATTTGGAGTAGGGGACGCTCACAGATGTTTTCTACAAGAAAGGGAGGGGGGCTGAGGTCTCAGATAACTATTTCTGGGAAAAGGGGTAGAATAGTTTCGCATCTTTGACAGGTGAAAAAAGCACAGCTGCTGCTTCCTGTGATTGGTTCTTTCAGTAGCCATTCCGGGAGAGGAGGGAAAGGGCTCTGCAGTCCTCATAGCAACCTTGCCACGGAGCAAAACTTCTGGGAAATCAAACTCTCCACGTGTCGATCAAGAGTCAAGAAGACATGAATGTAGAAAGTGAAGGCTTCATGCCAATCTCTCTAATAGGACGGCTGTGCATCAAGCACAGAGGACTCTCAGAAAGTGATCAGACCTTATTAGGCATTCCGGAACTGGGGGGCTGGGAATGGGAGAGGAGTAACCCGGAAGTGTTTCCCTAGCTGGGGCGGAGGCAGCACTATGGCTGCGGTGCAGGTAGTCGGCTCGTTCCCTTGTGGGGCGCCGCCGGAGGCGCCGCGGGAACCCCCACCTGAAGTGGGGAGTGGGTTCCGCCGTCTGTCAGCCAGGCTCCGCGCGCTGCGCCCGGACGACAGTAGCTTCGCCCGCACCGAGATCCATTTGCTCTTCGACCAGCTCATCTCCGAGAACTACAGCGAGGACGAAGGCGTGAACTCGGAGGTAGGTCGGGAGGCTGGTGCTGTGTCTGCTGGTACCGCTGCCACCTTTTAGGGACCCCCGCCGGTAGCTCCTGCCTACGGCTCTAGGCTTTCCCTTCTTCTCCTACGCATTACTTATTCCCAAGGTTGTTTGCGTCTTCCCGATCGAAGGACATTCCTTGTTTTTCTTCATCTGGAAGATCCTGCAGTGCTTGGCTCGCTCACACCTTTCAGAACCCGAGCTTTGAAAGACGTAAGGGGAGCTCTGGTGGCCTAGTGGCAAGAAGCTGCACTGCAATCCCAGAGAAACACGGTTCGAATCCACCAGATGCTCTGCCGGAGAAGGAGGCGCAATATCCTCTTGTACCAGTCAGATCTGATTTGACGGTACACGCACACAAAATAATAAAAAATAATAAAAAAAAAAAGTAAAAAAAAAAAGAAAGACGTGATCACCCACCTGTGGTACCACGGTCCTGTTCTCCCTACCATCCCCTCCATTTACAACTCTCACTGTATCAAATTCCCTCATACCCCCAATTCAGTACTCCTGTTTATTAAATACATGGCGCCTCTTTACAGTGTTGTCATAGAGAAAGTCAAGCCAGGTGTTCCTTAAAGGAAAGGGTGGTGAAGCTTCATCTCACATAGTTTGGACGTGTTTTTAGGAGGGACTAGTTATACTTTGGACATGTTGTGAGGAGAGACCGGTCTTTGGAGAAGGACATCATACTTGGGAGGGTGGAGGGACAGCGCAGGAGAGGAAGACCCTCTAGGAGATGGATTGATTCGGTGACTGGGGTAATCAGGATGAGTGTGTTTGAGACAATGAGATTGGCACAGGACAGAGCAGAGTTTAGGGCTGTTGTACATAGGGTCGCGATGGTTGCAAGTGAGTCCAGGGCACATAACAACAGCAGTCCTAGGAGAAGGACATCATGCTTGGAAAGGTAGAGGGTAAGCGAAGAAGGGGAAGATCTTCAGGGAGATGGATTGATATGGTGATTGCCACCGTGGACTTGAGTTTGTTGGGAAGATGGCACGGGATAGCAAGGTTCACATCTGTTCAGAAGGTCACTGGAAGCCACAGTCAACTCTGTGGGCACCTAACAACAGACAGAGACAGTAGAAACTCAAGATTATTAAGTATCTTTTGAAAACAATCTGAAATGGCTGTAAAACCCAAACCAAGTTGATAGTAATCATCAATTCTGACTCATAGTGACCCTGCAGAGAAGAGTAAACCTGCATGTACAGTTTGCAAGCAAAGTCTTTATGGAAGCAAACTGCTACATCTGTCTCCCAGGAAGTGGCTGGTGAGTTCAGTCATCAGCCAAATACTTCACCACAGTCTTTGAGTTGTGGTGTTGGAGAAGAGTATTGAATATCTCATGGACTTCCAAAAGAACAAAACATGTATGGGTTGGAGAAGGTACCCTTGGAGTGATCCTGGGAGGCAAAGATGATAAAGCTTCGTCTCACTTATTTTGGGCATGTTGTAATTCCTCGGAGAGGAACGTCATGCTTGGAAAGGAGGCGAAGGAAAGGAAAACCCTCAACCAGTTGACACAGTGACTGCAGGAATGAGCTTGAGTGTGTCGGAGATTGTGAGGATGACACAGGGTAGGACTGGATGCACATCTGTTACATATTAGTCGTACTTGATGGCACCTAACAACAACATTGCTATGTCTGTAGAGTCTAGAATTGTTTAGGCCACGTTCTTTATTTAACCCAACTCATGGCCACTGAGTTGAGTCGATTCTGACTCTTGGTGACCCTTCATTGGGTTTCTGAAGCTGTAACTCTTGACAGGAAGAGACTGCCCAAGGTTCTCCCAGATGGTCCATTCACACTGCCAACCTTTTTGGTTAGCAGCCTCATATGTTATACACTAAACTACCAGGAATTCCTTTTTTTAAAGCATATTCTCTTCTGCCGGTCCTACTTCTTGCCTTACACCTCTCTTCCCCAACCATGGGTATGAGCATCTGCTTTTATTTTCCAATTTGCTATGTTTTAGGAGTTTTTCCACTTGATTGCTGGATAATATTCTAATTTCTTCATCGTTTTTTTTTCTTTTTTCTTTTGGTAGGATGTCAGTGCTCTTCTAGTCCAAGCTTGCCGACTGGTGCCTCTCCATCAGAATCACCTTGTCAGCAAAGTGTCTAAACTTATTCATCATTTACTTAACAGACTACAGGTAATCATCTGTGTAATTTTAGCATGCAGGTCATAAATTGTGACAATAAAGAAATACTTTTTGAAATACTCTGTCTGTGGTGAGTATTGTAGGCCATCCACCACTGGTAAGCTGTTTCAGGCTCCGCAACCCTCCTTCATGTTTGCAGGGGGAGAGACTGCCCATCTTTCTCCTGCAGAGAAGCTTGTAGATAAGAAAGCACCAAACTTTTGATTAGCAGTACAGTCTTTTCTGCAATGGCTCAAAATGTCAAAAGGTAATTGAAATAGTATCTATCTGTCTTTGGGAATTGAGGAGTACAGGTTCAAGAACCACAGACCTATTTTTGAGTTTCTCTCCTGCCAATTAGAAGTATAACCTTGAGTAAGCTTGTAGCCTTGAAAGATTTACATAGCACTCTCTTGGTGCTTTCTTGCCTATAGATGAAAATGAAATCTATTTAATGAATAATATTTTCCAATATATCACCATTGCTCCTTTGAGAAACTATAGAAAAAGCAAATGCCTTATTTAGAGTGATATTAAAACAAATATGTAATTGTAGGTTAAAAAAACTTCTGGACAATTCTATAAATTTGTTCATTAGAAGTAACCCTTTTTGTTGGGTTCAATAAACCAGTATCATCTAAACCCCATTTCTTACTCATCTTGGGATTTTTCATAGGAAATTTATTTGATTAAAACATATCTAAGTATGAGTTGAAGTGAATCCACCCACCCCTACCTTCCACCAATAATTTTTCTCTTTTCTAAAGCTACCATTTTTGTGGTTTACTTTTATTCTACATTAAAAAAAATTTTTTTTTGGAAGAAAATAAGCACAAGGGTAAAAACCCTATTAGTAAGTTACTGAAAGTCTGCTCTTAAAGCTTTGACTTTTCCTAGAATTTTTTCCACTTTGCTAAATAAGTTGAACATCTTTTTAGAATAGTACAGGGATGAAGACAAAGTATATGGATGCAATTAAGTGCAAAAAACACAGATAAAGACCTTTAGAGTTGACACAAAGTAGGACATATTCTCTTTCCTAAATAGCTTTGCCTTAAGTGAACTTACATGCCTTTTAAAAGGCTAAGACTGTTGTCAGAACCAATTGATAAGTGACCTTCCAGCTAGATTTCCAAGGCTGTAAATCGCTTGGAAGGAGATTGGCCATCTTTCTCCCCTGGAACTGGTGGTGTTTTAAACCACTACACAGGTGTGATTTTAGAGTTACTGGCACAACTTCCTACAGAACTCTTTTTTATATCACCAGAACTCTTTTTTAGAAGTTAGTTCATAGAACCAAGATGGTGGTGGCAAGAGATGCAGCATGAGGAGCTGGAGGTGTGGCAAGCCTCATTGAAACTTGCCACCATGGTCCTCCACAGCCCACAGTTTATAGATACCTAAACAGCCAAACTGTTGACTACTGGTCTTCAATATGGATTGAAGCCCACATCAAGAGGACAAAGATTCTTGAAAAAACATGGCTAACCTTGAGTCTTGCTCCAGACCTGACCCCTGAGCCCAGTTCCAGAGACAAAAGGGAAATATAACTGTCAGCTAAGGAAGTGAAGGAGCCTTAGGGTTCAGCCACCCATCCCCACTGGATTAACCTTGAGAAACACTTTGTAGTCCAGAGGGCAGTAAACATTAGGAAAATATCTTCTAACTGAACAAGAAGACATACAACTTCAACCCAGGACCACCAGTAAGGAGTTAAAATGGGCTCCCCTTCCCCCTTCATCTCAACACTTCTGTTCAGCATAAAGAAGCCAGAGTCTGTGACCCATTCCCAAATGAGAAACTCACAAGTGAATAAGACAATTTCTTTGTTAAAAAAAAATTAATCACCATTGGACTATGTTCTGGCCCCCACTGGATCTTTATCATTTCCTTCACCACTCCCTCCACCCACCAAATTGTGCAGCCCTGTGATTTCATCCCTGCCCATCCTCACTCTTCTGCTCCCAGCCCTCACCCCCTTGTATCCTCCTATATTTTTTTTTACGCTAAAATTAAAAAAAATTAAAAACTAGGGAAGAGCAGGGTGGGCAGGAAGAAAAGTGCAACAATGAATGATATGAAACCCTAAAAAACAACAACAACAAAACCCAACCATTTAAAAACATTTAAAAAAAATAAAAAAAGTTAGTTCATACATATATTTTCCCCTGTCTTGGCAGGTGATTGTTGATGAACAGAACCTGGATTTCCTGTTGGCATATACTATCTCTGCTATTCAGCAATGCAGTGCCTGGACACACATGGAAATTCTTCAAGCGCTGGCGGCTCTAGTTTACTGCAATGGCTCAAAATGTCAAAAGGTAATTTAAATAGTACCTATCTTATCTTCAGGAATTTAGGAGTGCAGGTTCAAGAACCACAGACCTGTTTTTGAGTTTCTCTCCTGCCAATTAGAAGTATAACCTTGAGTAAGCTTGTAGCCTTGAAAGATTTTACATAGCACTCTCTTGGTGCTTTCTTGCCCTGTAGATGAAATAATGTTTAATGAATAATATTTTCTAAGAAACCTTTCTTTGAAACCAACTTTGGCCATTACTTTGCTTTAGTACCTCCCAGACTTGGTCGGCAAGACTGGACTCTTGGTGAAATTGAGTGATCCCACTCAGCCTGACCTAGAAGTGAGGAGGGCTGCAGTGCATTGTATGGCAAACTTGTGTCTCAGGTACGTGGGGCCAATCAGGTTTTTCTATATTTATAATAAGGGGATTCTCTTTGGCTCAGGGTAGCTCTTTCATTCCAATGATAGAGTCAGCCTCAAAAAAGAACCAGCTCATCTCTGCTCTGCTCTCCCCTTATCATTTTTACTGAGATATTTTTATTGTTTGTTTTTAATTTTAGTATTGTTTTTAAAGAAATCTTATAAATAAATGGAAAAAAAATAGCCCATCACTGTCCCTGAAACAGGGTTAAGGTGGTAATATTTGTGCTGTTTGCAAGGTTTGTTTTCTGCTAGCCAGGTTAACTTGTTTCAGAAGATATACTTGTATTAACTTAAGCTGTGGTTAAGATATATCTGTCAAGGCCAGTTTCTTCCCTTTTAAGAAAATGGAACCAATTCCTACCCAGTTCTAGATTGATGCACTAGAAAATGAATAGCACAAATTTGATCTCATTTACAATGTCTTATCTTTCCCAGGCTACTGTTGTCCAGTGGTAAGAAGACAGGTTGAGCAGTGAGATTCTAGCTTGACAGGACCTGCCTCTTTGATTCTCTCTTTGAAAATGAAAAGCAGAATGAGAATGCTTACTTTTTCCACTATGAATTTCTGTTGCCTTCCTCTATGAAAACCATTTCTCCTCCTTCATACTAATTCCACCCTTTTTCCTGTCCCACAGCAGAGAGTAATTATCTAAAGTGTACGGTTTATGATACAGTTCCATCCAAGGGTATATTTACCTCACTTATGTAGGACTAGTGTTTACCTTTCTTGTTAAGAAGAAATTGGACAACTGTGGTTTATTCTGTCTGTTACAGTGTGCCAGGTCAACCATGCTTAGAGGAACACTACCAAAATACCTGCTTCCAGGCGTTCTTGACCACTTTACAGTCTCTAAAGTCACCTGACATGGACGATATCACATTTTGTATGGTAGGTGTGAATACCACCAATCTTGTGAATATTACAGATACATTTGGAAGCAGCAGTAGATCAGATGCTGGTATTAAAGACTTCAGAGGAGTATTTGTTTCTATAAATCTAGGTTTGAAAAGGGAGCTGAATGTTAGGGAGTTTTGCTACCAACTCAAAGGCATGCTGTTCGATTTCACTAGCTACTCCGAGGGAGAAAGATGGACAGTTTCCTTCCATGCAGTTTACAGCCTCTGAGAACCTGCTAGAGGCCTAACTTGAGGACATGCAACAATGACTGTTTTACAAAGGAGTATCCCTTTTTTTATTACTAAGTATGAAAACAGTGTAATTGCAAGCTAACAGCTCCCATCAAAATGGAAAGAAAATGAGTGAATTTCAATAATATTTTTCTTTAAAGAAAATATAATGTACGTATGGCTATTTATGAACATGTTTTGAATTCAAGGTGACAGATTTAAAATAATACAAATCTAAGATTATTAGACCTCTCCAGATAATTGAAGAGCAATAATGCCACTTTGAGGACCAAGGTGTTCCTGATTTAGGCCATGGTCTTTTCAGTCACTTGCTACTTACTTTTCAGTCACATCTGAGAGCTGGAAAATAAATAAAGATCAGAGAAGAACTGATGTCTTAATGCCGTGGTGTTGGAGTAGAGTACTGAATATTCCAAGGACTGCCAAAAGCACAAACAAATATGTCTTAGAGCAGGTGTAGCCAGAGTACTCCTTGGAGGCACAGATTATAAAACTACGTTTCACATGCTTTAGGCGTATTGCTAGGAGAGGCTATTCCTTGGAGTATATCATGCTTGGGAAGGTGAAGGACCAATGAAAGAGAAAACCCTCAACCAGATGGATTGATAGAGTGGCTGCTACAATGGGCTCGAGTATGTCAGAGATTGTGAAGATGACATAGAATATAGGACAGAGTTCAGATCTGTTCATAGGATCCCTGTGGGTCATACTTGACTCGACAGAACCTAACAACAACAATAGGATTATGAACTTTCATTATAGGCTCCTATTCAAATATAACTACTGGGAACAATTTGATTTGCTCAAAGGTGGTTTTCTATGTTATACATACTTCATGTTTTTTAATGGACAATAGTAAACATACCATTTTACAACTTACTCTTTTGTTTTAAACCAAATGTGTTTTGGGTATCTTTTTAGTGCTTGTTGGTCTACCTAATACTTTGTAACTGCTGTAGTTGGGAGATCTTGGACAGATTGCTTAACTTTTCCGAACCTCCATTTCCTCATCCCTGAAATGGTATTGAGACTAAATCACATATGAGGAGTATATGAAATTAAGATGCATGTAAAATGCTCAGAAGAATGCTGTTATTATTGTTGACTCTCATACTTAGCAATGAAATAACTTCTCTTACAGTTAGTGGAAATTGAATTTTCCCCTCTATTTCGCTATTTGAAAGGAAGCTATAGGTCTGGTGAGGGGGTATATTTCTTGTGGACAAATTACAAGAAGTGAGATTATGGAATCCAGGAATCACATAATCAGGATTGTTCCTCCCGATTTATCCTCAGCTCCAGAATACATTGATTTGCCGGAACTTTTAATGTGCTATATCACAGAGCATTCCTGGCTTCTAATCCCAATGTGATGTCTGCTCTCTTTTTTTATTGAAGCTCACCTTTTGTTGTTGTTGTTGTTGTTGCTTTGTATGCTTTGGTTTATAACATGTTAAAGAAGTTCAATAAAAGTATTCTTGCTTTCCAGAAAATTACTAGTTTAGGTAGTCCCTGACTTTTGACCTATTTGAGTTATGATGGAATACAGTGAAGACCATCTTGTGTTTAATAGTGTCTGTTACAAAGAGTGTGGAGTGTAGATTGTGCCGATGTTAAAATTTTCATGCCAAACTCCAAAACAAAGTTCAGATTTATGAAGGTACCAATAACAATGAAACATGTTAAAGATTTTTTTCTTCTTCTTTACCCTAAATGATGTTAGAGTTGATCTCTAGAAAATCTGATTTTATTTTGCCTTTAAGTTGGTCTCCTTTTTTTCCCTCCTAGTTGTTACAAAATGCATTAAAAGGTATACAGTCACTTTTAAATGGTGGGAAGATGAAACTGACAGAGCCTGAAGACCTTGGAGCTCTTCTGGCTGTGCTAAAGGTAAGACATTGCTTATTTAAACCTCACACTCTTGTTCTGGTTGGTATCTGTCCTGCTTAAACCCCAGGCACAGCTTTACATCATCAACCTCAGGTTAGCTTCCAAGTAGTATATTTTAAGAAAGAGTAAGAAAATGTTCAGTTTTTGAGCATACTTAAAGTTAAGCATAGAAAAGAGTATAATGTACAAGAATTTTATGAATTATAAGATTTAATATACAAGATTTATGTTATTTATTTTAATTTATTATTATTTCTTTTACTTATTTAAAAAAATATAGGGCGCTCTGGTGGCCTAGTGGTAAGAAGCTGCACTGCAATCCCAGAGATGCGGTTTTAATCCACCAGATGTTCTGCTGGAGAAGGAGAGGCAATCTCTTCCTCTACCAGTCAGATCTAATTTGACAGTACACACAAAAAGTAGTAAAATAAAATAAAAATAATTCCATTTAAAAAAAAGAATGTAGAAAATGTACAAAAATTTTATCTCTGAAACTTAACTTAGAGGTAGATTTTGAAGTATGATCTGTGGGTACTTTTTGGTGATGGTGGTGGTGGTGGTGATGTTACATGCCATCAAGTTGAGTTCAACTCACACCACTCTCATGAAGAGTAAGTCTGAACCCACTCTTCTCCTGTGCCCTCCTTGTCATCTCTGACATTCAGGCCTATTGCTACCATCACTCAGTCAGTCCATCTCATTGAGGGTCGTCTTTCTCACTGACGCTCCACCTTTCCAAGAAAAATGTCCCTCTGCAAGGAATAACCCCTCCTACCAACATACCCAATGCAGCTTCTCTGCTCTTGCCTCCGAGGAACACTCTGGCTACACTTTGTCCAAGACCTGTCTTATTTATTCTGTTTTCTTTTTAGATGATCTTAAACCAGCTTGAACCTGTTTGTATTTTTAAAAAGTACATACCAAAAAAAAAAGTACATACTGGCTTCTTGGTTTTCTCTCCTAACAGAAGGCAGTCCGGTCAGCAGACTGTCATCCTTTCTAACTCCTGAGATTGAGGTAGTGAGGAATAAGACAGCTTCTCGGAGAGCCCAGCTGTCTTCAGGTCAGCCAGGAGAGAGTAGGATGTTTCCTGTTGACCTCAGGTTTAACTTTAACTTAAATAAAAACCAGGATTTTTATGCTTTCCCTGGCCCATCTCCCCTATGCCAAAATCAATAGATAGTTAAAGAATTAGATGTGGAGAAAACAAACCAGCCAAACCCACTGCCGTCAAGTCAGTTCTGCCTCTTGGCAACCCTCTCATTGGGCTTCCAAGGCCGTAAAACACTATGAGAGGATGCTTTCTCAGCTAGAGTAGTGGATGGATTTGAATGATTGACCTTTTGGGCTCCTCATATAGGATTGTAATTGTTCAGTGTTGTTAAGTCGGCTCTGACTCATAGCCACCTTATGTACAGCAGAATGAAACTGCCCGATCCTGGACTGTCTTTGGTTAAGTGATATAAATAAAATGATATATTAAGAAGGTTTATGTATATCTAAACCCATTGCAAATCTTAACAGGAGATTGCCTATCTTTCTCCCTGAGAGCAGCTGGTGGATTTGAACTGTTGACCTTTCAGTTACCAGCCATATAGAGATAGGTAAAATTGGTGAATTTTCTAAATTAACAACAATAATGAGGAATAAATAAACTGATTTCTAAGTCTAATCTAATTTAATGTGGTCAAACCTTATTGGAGGCCAGTGAAGGTTAAGCTCTCCTTTAAACCTCAAATCTTCATAGTGCCTGTGCTCTGCCCTGTACTTGCTTCATTAATAAGTTTCTAAATGTGAATTGGTTTGTGTAAATAACCCAGACCATAATGAATTATTTTGACCTTGAATTTGTATGTGTGTTGCTTTCTTAATCATCATTATTAGAAATCCATGTTTCATGGGCTCCCTGGACTAAACATAGAGATGCCTACAGTATTATACCCCACTCTGCTTCCCCAGTATGATGGGCGACCGCCTGCCACACCACAGCAGTCAGAATCCTGCACATCCCGGCCAAATGTGGTATGTTACTGCTATTGAAGCTATGGGCTGTTTGTTTTCAGTTGATTGCTATGCATGCTTCCTATGATTTGCATCATTACAACCCCAAAGGCACACTCGGAATTTGATTTCAGAGTAGGCTGTTTAGCATCATAAGTTTAAATTCATCAGAGTCTCGAAAGTACCAGTTAACGCATTTACTTCTAAAAAGTGTAGGCTATAAAGGACCAGGAAACCTTTTCTGTAAAGGGCTAGATAATAAATATTTTAGGTCTCTTTCACAACTGCTCGCTCCACTGTTGTAGTGCAAAAGCAACTGAAAGCAATTTGTAGATGAATGGACATGGGTATATTCCCATAAAATTTTATTTACAGAAACTGCAAACCTTTAGGACATAATTTGTCAGCTTATCTTAACATCATAGGAAGCTCACCTGCTGGTCAGCTCACTTTTTCTTCCAATCTCTATCCAACAACAAAACCAGACCCTCTGCCTTCAAGTCGATTTCAACTCAAAATAACCCTGTAGTCCAGAATAGAACTGCCCCATGGGACTTCCAAGGCTGTAAAAGTTTGTGGAAGCATACTGCTAGATCTTTATCTTATGCAGGGGTTAGTAGGTTTGAACCATTGACCTTTTAGTTATCAGCTGAATTCTTTAACCACTTGGCTACCATAGCTTTTATACGCTCTGTATTCACTCAATTTCCCAGCCTTTCCATAGCTGTTCTCTCTCTCTTTCATGTGTTAGAGAGCCTAAACCATTCAGATAAGTGGTCACAATATTACATACAAAAATAGAATATCTAATAAAATGCTTATAATTAGAAATGCATTCACTTGGTCAACATAAGCTATATGCTAGACATGGTACTAATAAGCACTTACTATATATACTAGATGTGGTACTAAGAATTAAAGTTAGAGCTCAAGCAGGTTAGAAGTTTATCAGGGGAGAGGGGTGATGGATATGTAAACAACTCTATACCCACTCCTCAGCTCTCAACTTACTGAAGTTCCGAAGACCAGGTTATGAAAAATTTGTTGTGATGTGCCATCAAGTAGCCTGCAACTCATAGCGACCCTATGTACAATAGCCTTAAACCCTGCTCTAACCTTTGCCAATCTATTGTTTCCGACACACCTATCTTCATTACCCCAGAGACTGAATCAATCCATCTTATCGAGGGTCTTCCTGCGCTGTCCCTCCACCCTCCCAAGCATGACTCTCCTCTCTAAGGACTGATCCCGCCTTGCATTATGAAAAAATGGAGAATAACTATATTAGATCACAAAATAAAGAGAACTGCTTTACATTACTGTCTAATGTATGATTCCATAGCTACCAAGCCACTGAGAATCATGCTTTGGTCGAATTGACACACAACCATCACATTACTTCACACCTTGGCAGACTGCTAGGCACAGGTTGTTAATGCACAGAATAGTTGGATAGCTCATTTACCCCCCTGTTTTCCTAAGTATGAAGTGTTGGATAGCATTATCAATAAGGGAAGAGTAGTTATAATTCAGTGTTAAGATTTCCTTCATCAGAATATTCACAGAATATGCTCAGAACACATTCTGAGCATCCAGCCCCATGAAGGAGTGAGACTAAATGAGACTAAAGTATATAATCTATAATAGTGACTAGTCTAGAGAAGAAAACAAGAGTGTTTCATTCAGAGAAAGAGTGCACTCAGCCCGTTAGTTATCCAGTAAAGCTAGAGTTTCAGATGCATGGGGTGTTAGGGTGGTGCTAGTGTAGAAAAAAGACTCATTGCAGTTTAGTTAATTCCAATTCATAGTGACCCTGTAGGGCAGAGGGGAACTGCTTCACAGGGTTTCCAAGACTGTAAATCTTTACAGAAACATGCTGTGTTACATCTTTATTCTTTGGAGTAGCTGGTCGTTTGAACTCCTGACCTTTCAATTAGGGTCTGAGCTCTTAACCACTGTGCCACTGAGAAGCCAGTATGTATCAGAGACCAAATTGTGACAGCCTTGTATGATATCCTGAGAAATTGAGGTTTTTATGTTTTAAGTGCTGAAGATTCATTGAAGAATCTTAACATAAGAAATAACCAAAGTAGATGCGATATATACCTTTCTTTCCCAAGGCCTGAGACTTTGGTAATCTGGAGGAGGGCACAGATTGCAGTAATATTTATATGTCAGAAAGCAGGAAGTAGGAGAAAAGAAAGAAACTGGCTTTTACTTAATTTCTGTAAAGACTTTGTGCCCTAAAATATACATTGTGCCTAAAGGATTAACTTCTCTCGTAGGCATCTCTTGCAGTATTGTATATCTTGTTTTGGAGAATTAAACTGTTATTAGACCTAAGAATTAATAATCCTCAACTCCTTTTTTTGGATCCCTTCTTGAAAAAGGCTGAAAACTTAAATCTGCTGTGCAGGATAGATGTCATAAGCCTGTGCTTACAGAGGAGGAAGGTAAAACTCAGAAGACTAAATGAATTTGCCCGGGCCCACAGAGACAAAGCTAGAACATGGGTCACATATTTTGCTCTGTCTCATATATTTTATTTCTTCCAGTTCAGTAGGATGTGTGAGCACTTAGCATAGTGCTTGCTTCATAGGGTATTAAGTAAGTGCCACTTTCTTTCTTTTCTCCTCTTCTTTCTTCAAACTGCCATTGGAAAGATATTCAGTATTTATGAAACGAAATACCAGTGATTACTTTAAAAGCTATTTTGAAATAGCTATCATGTATGTTTTCACTTGCTCCTGAAATCAGAACAAAAAGAAAAAAGCAAAAGTAAAATCCAAGAAAGTCCAACAAGGAGAGGAAGAGGAAGAAGACTCCAGTGGTGACGTAGAGGCAGCACCAGCCACAGGCAGAGCGAACCTTCATAGAGGGCGTACTCAGTGTCCCTCTTCTCTGGGTGCCCAGAGTTTGCCATTAGATGCAAGTGGAGCCGCAGGAAAAGATCACGTCTTCTCACCATTCAGTTCTTCCAGTTGGAAAAGAGTCAGCAGTAGTGAATCAGACTATTCTGATGCTGAAGGAGGCATGCAGAGTAAAATGAGGTAGTAGTTTTTGGTAATATTTTTGTATTTTCTAATCTACATATAAGTCTGTGACTTTGCTTTACAATCTGACTGCTGCACATGATTTTCAGGAAGATTCACATTCGACGATAAAGCCCTTAGTGTTGCTCTGAATATGCCTTACTCCCTTACTTTGCCTTTGTATATTCTTCTCTATCTAGAGTATTCTTTCCTTCACTTTTTCTTTCTGCCCTCTTAACCACTGTTAGTCTTCAGTATGAGCTCACTGATTGTCTTTGAGAACCCTTTCAGTCCACACCCCACAAACACACAACTTAGTATTAATCATAACATGCTGTAGTTTTCTCTCTACCTGTCCATCTCTGCCATTAACCATTGCTAGAGGTTGTTGTTGCTGTTGTTAGGTGCCATTAAGTTGAGGACCTTTGCTTCCATTTGCCAGTTTAACACAGTGCCTCCTGTAGATGGGTGTTCTGTAGAGTTTTATAATCCACACTAGTTTTACAACTAAGATGTTGCTTTCTTGCTATCTAATGTGTTTTGTGATTTTTAGCTTTATTAACCTCTTATATAAGAAATTGCTGTTATGTGTTTTTCTCATGTTGAAAAACTGTATTTTAACATCTTAACACCTTGATGGCTTAGTTAGTATTAAATTTAAATTGACTGGGATAAATGTATTACATGTATACTTTTTTTAAATGATTTTTCTCTCCCTTCTCTTGTGTATTAAAGGTCTTACCAAGCCAAAGTTCGCCAAGGAGCATTAGCTTGTTTTCTTTCTACTATAAAATCAATGGAAAAAAAAGTTCTTTATGGCTACTGGTCTGCCTTTGTTCCTGATACACCTGAACTTGGAAGCCCACAGTCTGTGTCCTTGATGACTCTTACATTAAAAGACCCATCTCCAAAGGTAAGAGAGCTTTAAAGCTTTATAATAGTAAAGGAGAAAAAAATTTCTAAATCTTTGGGATTTTTCCTCTGCTGCATGTTCTCTCAATACAGCTCTTATCAGTATTAACCCACACTAACCACCTTAGGTATAACACTGAGGTATAACTGAGCATCTGTGCTTCTCCTCCTCTTACAGAAATGTTGATTCATGTGTTGTTTATAGTAAAAAACATCAGAAATTACATAAGCAATGGAGTATTATGAAATGAAATGAATATTAAGAATAAGGCTTACAAAAATGCTTATAATTTATAATTATAATGTTATAATTTATAACAGCACAGGATAAACAATTACATATACAATCCTATCACGACTGTGGCTTTTCTCTTTGAATTTTCATTTCCTCAGATGACATGTAGCAAAGATTAACATCTTTTTATGAGAGAAACTTTTTTTCAAAGAGAAAACAGAGAATGGTTTGGCAGGTTGTGAATAGCTACAGTAAGATGTTCTGTGTTTGTTTCTTTGCATGTTATGGCCTCTCTGAAAGCTCTTAATCAAGTAAAGGTCTGCTACTATTTAGGGCACCATTTATAATAATGAAAGACATGTGAAGTAGGTTAAGCATTCTGGAAGGTCAACACTTTGAACCCCACAGCTGCTGTGAAGGAGAAAGAGAAAGTAGTCAGCTCCCATGAAGATTTATAGCCTCAGATATTCTGCCAGGCAGTTCTGTCCTGTAGGCATCATAAGGATTCAGAACAGACTCAGCAGCAGTGAGATATACTCATGAACGTTAAAAATTTATGCTGAATGGCATTTGAAGTCTTTGGATAAGTAACTGCCTAATCATTAGGGTTAATTATGCCAGTGTTGATGATGATGCTCTAGACCATCAAGTCGGAATCAACTCATAACTGACTCTCTACAGGGTTTCCTGAGACAGTAAATTGCATGGGACTTGACTGTCCATCTTTCTTTCATGAAGCACCTACTGGATTTGAACCATGTACCTTTGCATTGGCAGTGCAACTCATTACCATTAGGCCAGGAGTATTCCTTTTTTGGTTTTGTGATTTTCCCTTCTTTTGGGGAGGACAGAGGAGGGAATGTTGGAACTTTCTAGTGCATTGGGACTTCCTGTGATCATCTCTTTGAATAGCTAATTACAAAAGAAAACTTTCATGTAACCCGTCAGATGCTTTCACAAGGTAAATAAAAATAAATCAGTATGAACTCGACAGCAGTGAGTTTGCGTTTTTGATTACTGGAAGGCCTTATAGGGTATTTTAAATGCTGACTTACGAAAAATGGAGGGTCAGCAAAAGAGAGGAACACCTTCTATGGATTGAATGGGATGGATTGATAAAATAACTGTGGCAGTTGGGCTCAGATGTATCAAGGATAATGAGGCTGGCGTAGGATAGGGCAGGGTTCAGATTTATTGTTGATAGAGTCATTGTGAGTTGTACTCTATGGCACCTAACAACAAGTAATTGAACCAGGAGAAATATATCAGACTGAGACAGTATGAAATGAGAACCTGGAAGAAAAATAGAAGATGAGTGAAGATAATGAAATTAGTAATGGCGCATTTAGTATTGGGAAGGAAAATTATTATAGTTTAGTTGAAGACCCACTAGCTTGGGGCCACTATCAGCAGTGACCATGAAATGAGTACCTTGGCATAGTAGCATCCCTGGTTAACCACGATACTGATATGATCTAGGCTAAGGGCATGTGGGACATTATGGGTTTAGGATATGACTACAGAAGGGTTAAAGCTGCAAGGAAGTAATTTTTTTTTTTTTATTTTTACATTCTTTAAATGTTTAAGTTGTGTTAAAAGTGCTGTGAGAAACTATATTTTACAAGGCGATCTTATCCATCTCTTTGACTTGAGGACCTTTTAAAAAGTTTTACTGTTTACTTTGTTGAATAGGAGGAATGTGATAAGAACAAAAGAATGTGATGAGAAAAAAAGATAAAGAACTTCCTTTTGGAAATGTCCTAGATAAAATTTAAATGCAACATGAGGGTCTTAACCAAAAAACAAAACAAATCCCAAAGTCATGCCATTGAGTCAATTCCAACTCATGGCAGTCCTCTATTGGGTTTCCAAGGCCATACATCTTAATAGGAGTAGTTGTTGTGTGCCGTCAAGTTAGATCCGACTCATAGGTGACCCACCAGGGGATTTTCAGAGACAGTAAATCACACAGGAAGAGATTATCCATCCTTCTCCCTCATAGTAACTGGTGGATTCAAACCATGTGCTTTTGAGATTGCAGTTATCAATAGGCCACTGTTGTTGTTATGTGCATTTGAGTCAACTCTGACTCATAGCGACCCGGTGAACAACAGCTCTGAACCTTGCTCTATCTTGAGCCAATTTCATTGCCTCTGACACACCTACTTCCATTGCCCCAGTCACTGAGACAATATATCTCATTCAGGGTCTTTCTCTCTTGCACTGTCTCTCCACCTTTCCAAGCATGATGTCCTTCTCACTAGAGCTCCACTATAGCAGTAGACTGCCTATCTTTTTCCATACGAGTGGTTAGTGGATTTGAACCACCAACCTTTCACTTAGCAGCCCAGCACATAATGCACCAAAACCCAGGCATCATTCTTTGCATTAAAAAGAATGAAAGAAATGGTTCTGATCAGCCAGTTCCATTTAATAATGTAATAATGCCATTTAATAATGTAATAAATTCCATTTAATAATAATGTTCCATCAATCATAATGTAGTATGATTGAACTTAACAGATTTTCACCAGATAATGGTTTAAAAAACAAAACAGCTTACTGCCACTGAGTTGAGAAGTCATAGGACACAGTAGAACTGTCCAGGGGATCCCCAAGGCTGTAATTCTTTAGGAAAGTAGACTGCCACTTTCTTTCTCCTCAAGCAGCTGGTGGGTTCAGACCACCAGCCTTTTGATTAGAAGGCAAGCACCAGAGCTCAGATAGTAATTTAGAAGGATATGAAGAAAGTAAGTGTGGTGATTATTGTCCACAACAAGTTTGACTTCTGCAAAATCTCCCAAGTGTGACTAATTGTACATCAAGACATATGTTAGAAGAAAGTACTGTGGTAGAAGATGTCCATAAAAGACTTTGAAAGAAGACACCAATAACATTTGGGTATATTTTTTTCCCTGTCTCACACACTGTTTAATTCTTCAGTTGACCTTATGTTTTAATAAGCCAGAAACATAAATAGATTGTTCTCATACTCTAAATTAGAAGGGGCTTTTTTTTAATTTGTTTTACTATGGTGTAGCTAGATTTCAAAGTGAAGCTTAAGCAAAGTGAAGTATTTCAATGTAATGTGAGGAGAGCTGAAATTGGAGAATAAAAAGGGAAGAACTTGCTCTGCATTTCTCAAGCTAAGAGAACTGGAAAGCAAGTTTAAACGTCAAGTTGCAATATTGAAAAGATGCTAAGGACAATATATTGGACGACCCAGAAAGCATCAAAAGAAGATGGAAGGAATACACAGGATCACTGTACCAAAAAAAACTTATTGACACTGAAAAATTTTAGGAATTACCATATGAACAGAAGCCAATGGTAATGAAGGGGGAAGTGGAAACTACATTGAAGGCATAGGCAAAAAATTAGGCACCAGGAGTCAAAGTGTTTTAATAGATGAAGCCTTGGATGCTCTCGCCATTCAATGCCAGGAAATTTGGAGGATAGATGTTTGTCCAGTGCATTGGGAGAGGTCCATATTTATTTCTATTCCCAGGAAAAGTGATCCAACAGAATGTGGAAACTGTCAAACAGTATCATTAATATCACATGTAAGCAAAATAGTGCTGAAGATCATTCAAAAACAGCTGCAATAGAACATATATAGGGAACTGCCAGAATGGGATATCATCACCGATGTCAGATGGATCCTGGCTGAACATGGGCAATTCCTGAAGAATGTCTGTTTGTGCTTTATTGACTGTGTAAAGATGTTTGACTGTGTGGATCATAACAAGCTGTAGCTGACATTGAGAAGAATAGGCATCCCAGTGCAGTTAATTGTGCTCATGTGATACCTGGACCTGGACCAAGAGGCTATTGTGCAAACAGAACAGGGAATCACTGCATGGTTGCACATGAAGGAGTGTGCCAGGGTTGTATTCTCCCTCCATACATACTTATTTAATCTCTATGCTGAGCAGATCATTCAAGAAGCTGGACTCAAGTAAGAGGAACGTGGCATCTAGATTGGAGGGAGTCTCATCAATAACCTGCATTATGCTTGCTGAAAGTGAGGAGGACTTGAAGTACTTGTTGCAGAAGAGCACGGAATGCAGCCTTCAATGTGGATGCATCTTATTGTCAAGAAAACAAAGATTCTTACCACTAAACCAGTAGGCAACATCATGATAGATAGGAAAAAGATAGAAACTGTCAACTTCATTTTACTTGGATTCACAGTTAACACCCTTGGTACCAGCAGTCAGAAAATCAAGAGACTTAAATTATTGAGAAGTACTGATGTCAGTTTGAGGACCAAGGTGTGTTTGATTCAGGCCATGGTTTTTCAGATCACTTGCTGTTCATCTGTGAGCTCTACAATGAATAGGGATAATAGAAGAAGAATTGATGTCTTGAGCTGTGGTGTTGGCGAAGAGAACTGAATATCCCATGGACGGACAAAAGAACAAACAGATATGTCTTGGAAAGGGTGCAGCCAGAGTGCTCTTTAGCGGCAAGAATGATGAGGCTTCACCTCACATACTTTGGGCATGTTGTTAGGAGGGGCTGTTCCTTGGAGGGTCGGTGAAGGAGAGGAAGACCCTCTACCAGGTGGGTTGACACAGTGACTATGACTAGTGTGTCAGAAAGCGTGAGGATGGCACAGGAGTAGGACAGGGTTCAGATCTGCTGTTCATAGAGTCACTATGAGTTGTACTCGACTGACAGCACCTAAAACTACCAAGGGCATAGCTAAGGCTTACTTCCTGCCCTGAGGAATCCTGACAGCAATGTGATTTTTTTTTTTTTTTAGCAAGAGAAAGAAACTGAGGTTTATTAGACGTTCGTAGCAGACTATGAACAGGTCAGGCAGCAGTGTAATTTTAAGTTGTTGGTTGTCTGTTGTTTTTAGGTCAGGACCACAAATGTCTATAGTATTTTTGCCCAGGTAATGTATGCAATATATGGTTTTTGTAAACTGTGGAATCCCCTAGGCCACAAGTTTCCTATGTGTATTAAGAGCATGGGCACATGATTTCCAGCGTGATATTATATGCAAACTATGGTAGTGCATGTGTACTTTTAGGCTTAATAGATAATCTCATCTTTAAGTTTTTACTTAAAATGATCTTGTTGTGTACCGTCAAGTTGGAACAGATCCATAGCTGATTCATGGGTTGTCAGAGGCAGTTAATTGCACTCTGCCCATCCTCCTATACAGTACCTGGTGGATTCGAAGTGCATGCCTTCAGGATCGCAGTGCAGCTTCGTATCACTAGGCTATCAGAGTTCCCTAAAATGATCTTGTACTTAAAACATTTTTTTAAGTCTCATACACTTGTGACTCCTGCTTTGTAACTAATAGATGTGAATCCCCTTTAAATTTCAGACCCGCGCCTGTGCTCTGCAGGTTTTGTCAGCCATCTTGGAAGGCTCAAAGCAGTTTCTGTCTGTTGCTGAAGATACCAGTGACCACAGAAGGGCTTTTACTCCCTTCTCTGTGATGATCGCATCCAGCATTAAAGAGCTGCACAGGTGTCTTTTGTTAGCTTTGGTAGCAGAATCGTCTTCACAAACTCTTACTCAGATAATTAAGGTAAATATACCAAGGCATCTGTGGACTCCCAATGGATTTCTCCATTTTAATTTTTTATAATGTTTTACATTGTCCAACATTAACACAAGACTATAAATAGTACTTTCACCAAAGATTTCCTGTTTAGAAATCCTTACCTACTTCTGTGATCATATAAATAAATGACTTCTTAAAAAGTAATTCTTTATCTTTAAACTATTGTGTTAATAAGAATTCAAGAGTTCTTTTCTCTTCCTTCCAATAAAAAAGGACAGATACTGAAATAAGTATAAGAAGATTTAAAATTCAGTTCTTTACAATTTTTCTAGACTGACTTAGCCAGATCTATTCATGGTCCTTTTGTGTTTTGCAGTGCCTTGCAAATTTAGTATCAAATGCACCTTACAATCGTCTGAAACTCAGCCTTTTGACCAAAGTCTGGAACCAGATAAAGCCTTATATCCGCCACAAAGGTTGGTATTAGCCAGGGAGCCAGAGCATTTCCATTTTTATAAACAGGCTTAAAGAGAGATAGGCGTGTGAACTGATGTTTACCTAGTTTTTAAATCTCTAAGACATACCTGTCTTTCTTTACAACCGTGGAGGAAACCAACTGTTACTACAACACTTTTGACCCTTGGAGACCTAATGGTCTTCACTGGAAGAAAGGGAAGTAGAGAATTAAATGCTTTAGTCATGTAGGGAGATGATGGATGGGTGGATGGATGAATAGATATCATCCTCATTTTGAGAAAAGAAACTGGAGTGTAAAACTTAACTAATTTAACAGTATCTCCTCTAAAGCTCAGATAAAATCAGAGAACTTCAAATTCTCTACCAACTACATGTCTTATTTTCTGTTATTTCCTAACTTGCTCCTAACACCTTTTCTAGGTGTATTATGAACACTTGCCCTTTGGATATTCTCCCCCTTTTTGTTTATAAGCTTTAGGATCAGTCCTCATCAGAGTTTAAGTTCCTCAGTCAGAGTTGTAGAATTAGAAGGAAGTATGTATGTTTTGGTAACATCATGGAAAGAGCACTGGAGCTAGCTGGAGTCACTCTGAGAAGGGTTTCTAGGCTACTCCATGACTACTGCTTTATAGTCATGGCCCTCTGAGCCTTGAGTTCCTCCTGTAGGAAGATTTATACCTCCCTCATAGGACTTTCTGATCCTCAAATGAGATAATTATAAATTGAGTCTAGTCCATTCCTTTCATTAAGGTGTAAAATAAAACCCAGAAAAGTAAAACTTGCTCAGGATCTCTGATCACATTAGAGATGGAAGTAAGATTAAAACCTCCCAAGTCTTCTGCTCGGCCCACTGCTTAGCTTTCTCTTTCTGAGAGAAGTCACTGTGTCTCAGAGCTCCTTTCCACATGTCTAGCTTTGTTCTCCAATAACTTACTTGTTAAAATGTTCAATCCACAGAAAAGTCGAAGGAATAGTACAGTCAACACTTGTGTATCTGTACCTAGACTTAACAGTTATTAACATTTTATTCTTTAAAAATTAACATATTTGCATTCTCTTTCTTCCTATACGTGTTACATGTATGTGTATATATGACTATTTCTCCCTACACTGAAAGAAAATTAAAGACAGGCTGTTTCACTCTTAAATACCTTAGCACACATCTCAGAATGAGGACAATCATTTGAAAACAGTATTTTCACATCTAATGAAGTAAACAGTGATTTCATACTACCTAGTAGTCCACATTTAAATTTCTCCACATGTCCCAAAAAGCCTCGATTTCTTTTAAAATTTAAAGATTCATTTATGTTTCATGAACTGCCTTTAGTAGTAATGGCACGTTAGTTTCTTAAATATTTAGAGTAGTACACCTACCATTTTTTTTTCTCCAATGATAAGGAGTTTTGAAAGAGTCCAAGCCATTTGTCTGAACAGAAAATCTTAACAGCCTGGATTGGTAGAATTTTTTTTTTCCACATTATTATTTTACCTTTTACTTCTCCCCTGTGTATTTTTTAAAAAAAAAACAAACCTGAGAGGTAGTTCTAGAATTGTAGTTAGATTCAAATTAAACAAAGTCCTATAATTCTAAACTGCTCAGTAATGACAATTACGATCCATAATGAAGATAACTAATGGGTTCTTACTGTTTTCCATTATCAGATGTTAATGTTCGTGTATCAAGTCTTACACTCTTAGGAGCTATAGTTTCTACTCATGCACCTTTACCTGAAGTTCAGCTGCTTTTACAGCAGCCTTGTTCTTCTGGACTCAGTAATAGCAATTCAGCAACTCCTCATCTGAGCCCTCCTGATTTGTGGAAGAAAGCTCCGTGGGGACCCTCTGTAGAAGAGACCACCATGCACTCCCCCAGGGGCTCGTCTGAGCCCTGCTGGCTCATTCGCCTTTGCATTTCCATTGTTGTACTGCCCAAGGAGGATTCCTGCTCAGGTTGCGAGGCTGGCTGTGCAGCAGCTGGGCTCTATGAACCGTCCCCCATGCGACTGGAGGCCTTACAGGTAGGGAGAAGGTTTCATTTCCTCATCTTTGAAGTACAAATAATGAAGAGTGTATAAATGAAAATAATGTAAAGTCCAGCCATATGTAACAAGTCTTACAGAGAGTTATATTTTAGATATGGGTGGTTTGGTTTTATTGTTTTGTTTTGAGAGTTACTTAGTTGTAAAACGTCAAGATTTTTCCTTTTTTTTTCTTGTTGCTTGTTATTTTAGTCACCTCGAGAAGTATTTGATAGATGGGTGAACAGAGTATGTAATTATTCTGAAAAAAACTGTATTAAATTTTTTTTCTGAAAATTAAATGTTTAGTTTTCTGTAAATTTGTCCCTGTTCTTGTGCTGCTGAAGGAAAGCGAAATTATTGCTTGCTCAAAAGAAGTAAACAATCCAAGATAAAAATACTTGCTTTTCCTCTATACAAACGTGATCTAAGATGTGGATTTCATCCTGAATTTGACTACTAATAATCTGTGCAACATTAAACACATTTTTTAACCTTTTCCGCCTTCATTTCTTCGACTTGAAAAGTACAAAATCTACCACAAAAATTGTTCAGAGACTCAAATGGGATGATACTAATGAAAAACTAAGTAAATTCTAAGACACCATAAAATTGTATGATTTTATTTATGAAATAAACCATTTATTTGGTCATCCTTCATCTCATTCAGCATGATATTTTAGCTCTTGTTAGGAATGAATCGTTTCTGAAATACTTTTCTGGATTCAAGTCATGGGGTTAATCCCTTGCCACCTTTGTGTTGCAGGTACTGGCGCATCTGGCAAGGGGTTACTTTTCAATGGCTCAGACCTACTTGGTGGAGCTTGGAGAGGTGATTTGCAAGTGCATGGGAGAAGCAGATCCATCCATTCAGCTTCATGGAGCAAAGGTAGTGAAGTTCATTAAAAGCAGTGTGGTTGTGTTACTGTTGCTGATTTTCATCTTCTGTTTCTTCCTTCTGCTGTGTGTCCATCACTTCTCAGGTTTCCTAAAGAATGTTTGAATACAGGTACCTTTACTGATAATACTTCTGGTAAGGCAATCAGACCTTCCTCCATCTTTGGCTCTGTATGTAAACCCAGAATATGGGTGATAAATCAATCTTTCTCTCTCTCTCTTTCCCCTTTCTCCTCTTTTTCCTCTCTCTTCTCTCTCCCCCCCTTCCCCTCCTACTTCCCCCCCCCCCCCCATTTCTCTTTCTCTCTCTCAGGTAATTTTGCTCCCGGGAAAATTTTGTCTCCCTTTGATTTGTGGTGGTCTCCAAACTGAAGTTAACAGTGACTTGTATAATTCTAATTCTTTGTCTAGATAATCCCTTTTTTTTTTATCTTGGCAGCTTCTGGAAGAATTGGGTACAGGAATAATACAACAGTATAAACCAGACTCTGCCACAGCACCTGATCAGAGAGTGCCAGTCTCTTTGGTAAGTAAATGTGATTTTGAATGTTTCTCTGTTCTTAGTGGCTCTTTTATAGCTTTCTTTTGAAGTTCAGTGATAAAGTGGAATAGATGGCATCAAACTGACAGTAGCATCTTGAAAGAATAGATAAGAAGCTTAGGGAACAATGACTTTATGTGAATGGGGGACTAACAACTCAGAAAAATAAGGTGTCACTGAATTGTACATGTAATAACTGTTGAATTGGGTTGTTTTGCTCTATATATTCTTAATACCACTACCAACATCTCTCGCCCTAGTCCCTCCCCTCGATAGACTGCCGTTCAAGCTGAGATGTGACCATTGATAAGGCTGAGATTTGAGTTCTGCTATCAAACAGTCTAGGATTTTGTCAAAAGAGCAAGGGCCATGTAGAGATTGCCATATCTGACCTTGACCACCTTTACAGGGGAACTATTCTGTCAACAGCATCAGCAACACAGAGCCAATTCCCATGAGGTCAGGCATGTCGCCCACACTCCTGTGCCACTTTCCACTCATCTCAACACTAATCTTACTGCTTTACTGGATCCAAAATCTGGTGCAATAGCTCAAAGACCACACAGAACCATAATGGGGAAGTCAAAAGGTTGTTACCCAGGTTAATAGCAGAATGCAGTAAAGACAGTTTCTAAAATGTGCTCACAGGTACCTCAGCTGTAAGCCTTGTGACTTTAGGCCAGTGTTACAAAGCTCTCAGTCCTATGAATATTGCCACCCTTCCTCAGTCCTCCAATTGTCTTAACAAACCTGGGCAAAGGCTCTTAGCTCTGGTTCTGGGAGGGTGGGAGTAGGGGGAGAGGATAGCATTGCCGAGGTCAGTTCTATCTCATGTTGGGTATCTGGTTCCCTGCGTCAACTGCTGTGGCTTTTGCTCTGGTCCTAAAGGATGAGTTGCACTCTCCTATAAACTCTTTTCTGGTGGTGAAGTTCTTGCTGCTGGATCTGCACGATGACAAGACCAGCCTATCTCCTTATGAATAGGCTAACACACCCTATTCCCATAGTCCTACCCATCTATATGACAAAGGAAAATTCAGTGGCTAGGAAAGCCATTTGAATACTAAACTCTTCATAGATTTGAATCCAAACATCTCCCTTTTCTAGTTAGAAAGTAAACCTTTCAGATTGTGTTTTTGTTTGGTTGGTTTTTCTTTTTCAAGTCTATGAAGTTAAAAAAAATGTATTCATTGTAACATGAGTTCTCTGTTGCTGAGTAACAAATGACCCCAGGACCTCTTGTTGTTGTTAGCCAAGTGGAAACGCCATGTATAGCAGAGTGGAATCCCTCCACAAGGTTTTCCTCAGTATTATTGTCACTATTCTTTCTGCTCAACTTTATCTATTATGGTGTAATTCCTAAATCAATAAAATGAAAAAATTCACCTACTTGTTTTTTGTAAAGGTCTTCTCATAACTTTGAAAGAAGAACCAATGAAAACTTTCCCCAAACCAAGCCTTTCATTACTGTGGTCACTTCTTATGGCTTTGTGTCATGTTTGTCCACCTGTTGTGTCTGGGACTTAGTTTGAGCAGTGCTTCTCTTCCAGGTGGTGACATTCTGGATGATGATGCTCAACGGCCCTTTGCCCAGAGCCCTCCAGAACTCCGAGCACCCGACCCTGCAAGCGAGTGCCTGTGACGCGCTGTCTTCCATCTTGCCAGAGGCCTTCAGTGTTCTGCCGGTAACTTCCAACAGCATTTTTTATCAATTATATTTCTGAGCTTCGGAGTTTGATACTTTCCCATTTTAACTGATCTTCAGCATTGTTTCAGAGGAAAAGGTGGTTATTGTATTTTTTAAAGTTATTTGACTTTTATTTGATGCTGAATCATTTACTCCTGAGCCATGTCCTTTTGTTACTTCAGTTTCTTCTGGGAAACTTCATCTTCTGGTTTAGGACCAGTGTGTTCTTTTCAGTAAGGATCATCTCATGTGGCAGGGGGAGGTCATGTAGGGGTCAATCCGACCATGAGCTCTGTATGTGCGGCAGTGCACATCGGGAGCTTGGTTCACCTGGATGTGCTCAGGAACCAGAGACTCGACATCTAAACCCTTAAGTTCAGCTTTACTCTCTGCATTTTTAAGCATATGCAGCAAAACTCAGTACTCTTTTTGGACCTGGGCACACCACCTGCCAACTCCACTGCTGTAATGTTGGAATGGCGTTGTACTGCTTTTATAAAGTGACATCTTTCAAATACTTGGTGGCTTTCCAGATATACATACCCTTGATGGCCTGGGCAGTTTCCCGAGCATTCTTAAAATGGACTTGGAGATTTGAGCCCTTTGGTTTGCATGATTTTGTGGAATTTTCCAGATCAAGTGAGTAGCAAACCATTTTGGGAGGTCACCTGAGGCCACGCACAAGAAGAGACATTCCTATTCTATTAGAGAATGAAATGAGGTAGGTGGAGAACAGCAGACGGAGAAACTTTGAGTAAAACCTTTATGAAACCAGACAGTTTTTGCCCTGTGCTCCCGAAGGGAGAGGATAGAAGGTCGAGGAGCACTTGGTGTTCTTAAGTTAGAAAAGTTTCAGAAAGATTTCAGATATGAAAGTTGGAAAGGCTTAGGTTTAACTTACAGTTCTTGATTTTGATTTGGTTCTTAGGTTCTGAAACTTAGTCTCATTGCCTGTGAAATGACAGTGTAAGAAATGATACAAAGTATGTGAAAATGGCATTGAAATACGGTTATGCAGATGATACAACCATGCTCACTGTAAATGAGGACTTGAAGCGCTTGCTGCAGAAGATCAAAGAATATAACCCTCAATATAGATTGCATCTCAACATCAAGAAAATAAAAATTCTCACCACTGGACCTATAAGCAACATCATGGTAAATGGAAAAAAGATTGAAACTGTCTGACTTCATCCTATTTGGTTCCACAGTCAATACACTTGGTACCCAGTAGTCAGGAGATAAGGAGACGTATTGTACTGGGAAAATCTGCAGTCAGGGACTTTTTCAAATTATTGAGGAGCAGTGATTTTACTTTGAGGACTAAAGTGTGCCTGATTTAGACCATGGTCTTTTCTGTTACTTGCTATGCTGCTGAGCACTGGACAGTAGATGTGGATGACAGAAGAAAAATTGATGCCTTTGAGCTGTGGTCTTGGAGTAGAGTATTGAACGTCCTGTGGACTACCAAAAGAACAAACATGTCTTGGAGAAGATACAGCCAGAATGCTCCTTGGAGGCAAAGACGATAAAATTTCATCTCATGTACTTGGGCTTGTTGGTAGGAGAGGTTATTCACTGGAAGGGACATCATGCTTGGGAAGATGTTTGGACAGCGAAAGAGAGGAAGACCTTTGACCAGGTGGATTAACACAGTGACTACAGCAGTGGGCTCAAATGTGTTAGGGATTGTGAGGTGAGCACAGGATAGGACAAGGTTCAGATCTGTTGTTCATAGGGTCACTGTGAGTCATACCCAACTCTATGGCCCCTAACAACAACATGTGAAAAGAGTTAGCTTGGTACCCAACACAGATGATACTCAAACCACTTGGTTTTTTTCACTCTTCAGTGAGATCTGCCTGTTTTTCTTAACATTTAAATGAGCTTTCCTAAAGAAAGCAGTAGTAATGGGATTTTTGTTTTTGTTGTATGTTTCATCAAGTTGGAATCAACCCATAGTTGGCCTTCCAGCGGGTTGTCAGAGGCAGTAAATCACGTGGGAGGAGATCTCACATCTTTTTCCAATGGAGCAGCTGGTGGATTCGAACTGCATTGTTGGCAGCCCAGCTCCTTACCACTAGACCACCAGCATTCCCTTTGATGAAATAGAAGTTGTAATATCTGATAATGGATGCTGCATATGTGTCCTTATGCAAAGTGGGTGTTCAGGTAATAGAGTGTGAGTTGGACCTTTGTACTTTAACAGCAATAGCCTCAAGGTCACAGTTATGGTCAGCTCCTGAATAGCGACTCAGATGCAGATCTGTCAGTCATATGTTGAAGACACTGCCTATTAGTTAGATCACGTCTCACTTTTCCTTTGCCAACCTTCATCTTTGCAGAATGACCGGCAGATCCTGTGCATCACAATATTGCTCGGACTGAATGACAGTAAGAACCGTTTGGTGAAAGCTGCAACCTCACGGGCCCTTGGAGTCTACGTGCTTTTTCCTTGTCTCAGACAGGTCAGAATGAGCCAGCTTAGCCCTTCTCTGTCTCTTTAATGACCCATAACACTGCTTTTCTGATGGATTTTGGGCTCGTGAATGGACAATAAAGCAAACACAGTTGCTTTGTAATCTGGTTTCCTTAATTGCTTGTAAAAGAATACTTATGTCTGTAATTCATATATTCTTTAACTACTGGGCATGCTCTCAGATCCCTGGTGCTAATAAATGCTTAACATAATTGAAAGATTAAATGAAAATGAAATAAGACATTGACATGTGATAGTATGAATTTGGAGTATTGATATAGCTTTACATAAATAACTGAATTTCTTTTTTAAATTTTTTTTAGATTTCTTCTTTAATTTTTTAAATTTTATTTAAATTTATTATTAATTTCAATAAAAATTTACAGACACTTTGGATTTCCGTTCATTCATTGTTGTACTTTTCTCCCCTCCCAACCCTCCCCCCTAGTATACTACCCTCTTAGAAAAGTAAAAGACAAATTCTTTCATTGTTTTACAAACCCTCCCCCAGGTCCACTCCACCATATAGCCTTCACTCTAGACTCCTGTCATGACAAAAATACCTAATCACATATCCCTTTTAAACTTTTTTTAATTCTTTCTTCACATTTATCTGACCCATAATGACTATGATGTGTTTTAAGAATGCATTTCAGGGAGCTCTGGTGGCCTAGTGGCAAGAAGCTGCACTACAATCCCAAAAGTTCATGGTTTGAGTCCACCAGATGCTCTGCTGAAGAAGGAGGGGCAGTCTCCTCCTGTACCAGTCAGATCCAATTTTACGGTACACGCACAAAAAATAATAAAATAAATTTTAAAAAGTTATTAAAAAAAAAGAATGCATTTCACTGATACAACGTTGTTTCCTGAGGAAGAAATCAGGCCAAACACAGATTATCTATCCCAGGCCATGTGTGATGTATGGAAAGGAATTTGGCTTCTGTTTTTGGTCCTTGAAGGCGAGATCACAGCTGAGGCTAATGAGCAGAAGCTGAACAGACCAAGAAGTAGCCTGATTCGTCCAGCCTCAGGAGGCATGATGTAACCTATCATGATCACACTGTGAGGCCTATAAAAAAAGCCCCGAGTGCTAAGGCTCAGTTGAACTTCCTGGTTGGTGAAAATCTCTGCTCTTGAGAAAGGTAGCCCATCCCTTTTGGTCATAGATGCTCCGCAGCCCTCCCAGACTTCCTCCTATGCATCTCCCAATTTCTGTCATTTTTGGCTATAGTTAATCTGATGCTGTAAGTGTGGTGTATTTTCCCTTGATTTCTCTTGAATAATTTCATTGACTTACTGGACCCAAAGAAGCCTTAGAAATGGCAGGCCAGAAAGTAAGGTTGTTTTGTGAATTCCTCAGACTTAACAGCTAGTGTCTTCCTATTTGACAATCTGAAGGATGATGTCCTTTGAATTGTGAACTCTGACCCAGCTGTGAGGGGGTTGAGTTGAAGAGAGAATGCTGCATGGCTTACTGGCAGTGAGGATTGAGAAATGGAAATAAGAGGACTTGATCTAGCCCCACCCTTTAGGGTCTGAATTCATACTTTTCTTTACCATGAACTAAGTTACAGTATGTTCACAAGGGCAAAATTCCCAAATTGTAGGAGAGGTGCCTTTGGAATTTTAGTGAATGTCTAAATTGTGATTAAATGTAAGAAGAACAGTGAGTTATTTTGAGTTCCAAATAGAAATGCATTGTAAAGGGTTATATAGCTTTACCTGAAAAGTTTGTTGGTTTTGTTTTTTTTTTTTTAATTTGAGAAATACCAGTGTGAGTTCCTAAAGCAACTATGTATTGTTTTGTTTATCTTCTAGGATGTCCTGTTTGTTGCAGATACTGCAAATGCAATACTGATGTCACTTCAAGACAAGTCCTTGAATGTCCGAGTCAAAGCAGCCTGGTCCCTGGGAAACTTGACGGACACTCTGATTGTCAACATGTAGGTGGCCCAGCTTATCTTCCTAAGGATGACTTCTCAGGCATAGTCCCTGAAAGATATTTTGGCTTTTTATAGAAAAGGACTGATAGTAATTCTACTTCTTTATAGTTAATCATCCTACTTTGTTTAGTATCCCTTTTAGTAATAATATTAACAAGTTTGTGTTGTTGAGTATCATCGAGTCGGAACTGACCTATAGCTTAGCCTTCAGTGGGTTTTCAGAGGCAGTTAATTGCACAGGAGGAGATTGCCCATCCTTCTCCCACAGAGCAGATGGTAGATTTGAACTGCATGCCTTTGGGATTGCAATGCAGTTTCTTACCACTAGGCCACCAGAGCTCCCTATTAACAAGCTACATTTTTATATATTTTTTGTTATGTACCATCAAGTTGCCTATGACCTGTAGTGACTATTTGTACAACAGCTCTGAAGTCTGGCCTGTCCTGAGCCAGTGTCACTGATTCTGACACACCAACCCCCCACTGCCCTAGTCACTGTACTAATTCATCTCATCCGAGGTCTTCCTTTCTTGTGCTGTCCCTCCACCCTTCCAAGCATGATGTCCTTTTCTTTTCTTTTTTTTTTTTTATGATGTCCTTTTCTAAGGACTGATCCCTCCTGGCCCCATGCACACATTATGTGATACGGAGCTTCAAAATCCTAGCCGGCAAGGAGAAACTTGGTTTCACCGTCTCTAAGACAGACCTATTTGTTTTCCTGGCAGTCCATGGTCTGTTCAAGACTAGGAATATATTAAGTGGTAGTTCTCAGTTTTCATCACATCAGGTCACGGTGACCCCATATGTGCAGAAGAGAGCTGCTCTTTATTGTTGCAGAGAGTTGTGAACTTGCAGTGGCAGATTGCCACATCTGTCTTCCAAGGCTCCTCTGTGTGGATCTCAACCACCAACCTTCTGGTTAGTAGTTGAGCATTCAATAGTATGTGCCATGCAGGGCCTCCAGTATATTGCTGTCAGATGCCTTCAAGTCAGCTCATATTCATATGACTGTGTGTACAACAGAATGAAACCCCACCTGATCCGTGCTTTCCTCGCTGTCCGTGAAAATGCGGGAATATGAAAGTAGAAATCCAAAACCTTGGTAGTACTGGTGGTCCTGCTTCTTTAAATACAGTTTGTTTTTTGGTTTAAAACCATTTTCATAAATGCCAAAAGATTATCATTGTGAAGCCTTTCTCATGTCCTGACCCTTAGGTCCCCTCCCTAGAGGCCACTAATGGTAATACACAAGTGACTTTTGATTATTTAACTCTTAACATGTACATTGTATAAACGTCTTGGATTTTATGAATTTTTAATTGATACTTAACGTTGTGTAGTCTGTCCCTTTTGGAAGCAGAAGTGGCATCCACTTCCTAAATAACATGCCTCCAGAAACTATGAATTTTGACAGATGTTTCTAGTTGTAGAGGGGCTTTAGGCCTTCATAGGGTTGCTATGAATTGTGCTCAACTCGCAGGCAATTAACAACAACCATACTCTGTCCCTATTAATGATTATTTAATCATCCTGTTGCTTTAATTTGGTTTTGGCTTTAGGCTTTTCTATGCACTGAACATTGTCGTGTAGAAAATCTCCGTTTTGAGATCACTTTTTTATATATAGTGGCATTTACTTCCTAAACAACATGCCTCTGGAAACTCTGAACTTTGAGAAACTATGATAGGCTTTAGGTCTTTTGTTCATAGCGTCGCTATGAGTTGTACTTGACTCATTGGCAGTCAACAACAACAGTAACAACTGGGTCAAAAAGATAGAAACTAAATCTGTGTATGATCTGAACAGATTTGTCGAAGGTTTGGTTTTTTTTTATACTTCTACTAAGTAAATATATTTTTTATGTGTATGTACTTAAATATTTTTCCTTGTACCTGTATTGTCTGCTTTGGTGTAATAGGGAAACACCAGACCCAAGTTTCCAGGAGGAGTTCTCTGGTCTCCTGCTCTTAAAAATGCTGCGATCAGCAATAGAGGCGTCCAAGGATAAAGATAAGGTAGGCTTACAACACAGCCCAGCACTTCTCATTTAGATGATTGGTGTCTTAGAGTTTTATCCCAGTATGTGATGTTTCACTCCACAAACTGGCCTATTAAATCCCAGAGGGGTCAAGTATGTACGCTCTTTGGGGGTTTAACGGGGCTACTCCACACCTAGACGGTTTCTTTGTTGTCAGGTGCTCCATGAAGATAAGCAATACCTGTTGTAATACTATACGGTAATATATTTGTGTTGGACTATTAAGATGAATATTTTAATGTTTTCCATTTTTTTATATAAAATGATCAAGTCTGATAGATGATCTTTTAGTTTTGAGTAACCCCTGTGTTTTATAAATGAGTGTTAATAATAGACCTGCCCTTTAGGTGAGGCAGACATGGATTCACATCCAGGCCAGAGACCTTTATTGCATTATTTAACTTTTCTGAAGTCCGTTTTTCTCATCTACAATTTGGAAATAGTTTTACATCCCTCACTGGAATCTAAGATGGCTTACATTGAAGCAACCTGATGTGTATGTATTTAAAAATCATGCTTTTCTTATGCTGAGTGAACTAACTCAGTCCCACAAGGACAAATACTGTATAAAACCATTACTGTAGAATTAGTATGAGGATCCAAGGTGGGATGAAGAGTGGAAATAGAAGGGGGAGGATGGGGAGGATAGGGTGTTAATCATAGGGTTGCACAGTTTGATGGGTGGGTGAGGTGAAGGAAATGGGAAGGATTTTTTTTATGAAAAGCAATATATTTAAACATTGTATATAAATCAGAATAAAATTTTTAAAAAATTGCTCTAAAAAATCATGCTTTTCCATTTGGTAAGAAATCTCTCTCTCTTCTCTGGAAGAAGACCTCTTTTGAATCAACCATGCCAGTCTGTAATGACCCATATCAATCACTGAAAAACCTGATGAGTCACCTGAGAAACCCATATCAGACTTAATTTTTTGTCAGAATTTCTGGGATGAGGGCCTTGGATAATTGATTGGTCTTTTTTTTAACTCCCATGAGTTAAATAGTTAATATTTAAGAGTTAAAGAGTTAATAGGCTATAAGAGTAAAGAACATCTAGTCTAGCAGAAAATTTAATAGACCAGAATCATGAAGCCTGGCATATTTTCCTAATCTTGCTGTGTGACTTTGTCCATGAGGCAGATGGGCAGGTGCTCACTGAAGTTTGTGAAGCACTTGCAAGAAAACCAGGGAGAGGATCTTTTGAAGAATGACACATCAGGCTGCACCATCAGACAGGACTTTGCAAAATTCCAAGAACTTGGAGAGAGTGGAGCTCTTTCAATTTTATAGTTTGCATTTTTGTTTGATTCTCTATTTTCAGAAATCTAGAACTTTAAGCTGAAATTTTATTTTCTGAAACAACACTTTGGCAAATGAGGTTCTAATAATAATACATTTTATTCTAGGTAAAAAGCAATGCTGTCCGGGCCCTTGGGAATTTGCTTCATTTTCTACAGCCATCTCATATAGAAAAACCCAAGTTTACCGAAATCATCGAAGAGTCTATCCAGGCCCTCATTTCTACTGTTCTAGCTGAAGCTGCCATGAAAGTCCGATGGAATGCTTGTTATGCAATGGGAAACGTATTTAAAAATCCTGCTCTTCCATTAGGTAAGAGAGTTCCTTCTGCCCCAGCCACCCACTGACTTTTGAGCCTTCACTTGTTTTAATGGCTTGATCATTTCTAGGAACAGCCCCATGGACCTCCCAGGCCTACGATGCCCTGACATCCGTTGTAACCTCATGTAAGAACTTCAAAGTACGCATCAAATCTGCCACCGCTCTCTCCATCCCAGGCAAGAGAGAGCAGTATGGGTCCACTGAGCAGTACACTCAGATCTGGAACGCACTGGTCACCGCCTTACGAAAGAGCGAAGACACCACAGACTTTTTGGAGTTCAAGTATTGTGCCAGCCTCCGGACCCAAATCTGCCAGGCACTGATTCATCTCTTGAGTTTGGCCAGCACCTCAGATTTGCCCTGCATCAAAGAAGCCCTTGAACAGAACAGGGACATGATCCGTTCCTTTATCCTGCAGTTTTTAAAGTCAGGAGCTGAAGGTGATGACACCGGACCACCCCACAGCCCACAAGAGAGAGGCCAGATGGTCAGAGCGGCCCTGGAGCATATAGGCAGCATCCAGGCACCAACTGGTGACACAGCCAAAAGAGCTATCAGGGGCTTCTTAGACGATATCCTGACTGACTATTTAGGCCAGCTGGATCACAAGTGGCACCCTTTGGAGTAGCAGGTCATTGGACATCCATCATATTTTACAAATGGAACCAGGTTGACACCAGGGAGACACACATTTGAGCAGCTGATATGTGGGGTTGCATCGTAGGGGCAAAAGCAATCTACCTACTAATTATTTAGAATGACTTAGCAGTTACTTAAGGGTTTCTCAAAGGGCTCAGCTACTTTCTTGCATAGTCATGATCTGGGTTGTTGGAATCTCTGACCTGTTTCACCACCAGCTAAGGAGCCAGCTTGTATAGTGCATGCAGACCAGGGATGCTGTGTTTGAAGGGTGTTTAGCCTCAGAAAAAAATAGATATTAAGGCTTACCAATGTGTCATGTTGTGATGGCTGCATGTGGCTGTGATACTGGTAGCTATGTCACCAGTATTGCAAACACTAGTGGCATCATCCATGATGGACAGCTTTCAGCAGAGTTTCCAGATGAAGACAAACGAGCAATAAAAGCCTGGTGACCTGCTTCCAAAAATTAGCTTATGAAAACCTTTGGATCACAACAGAGCACTGTGTGACCCACTTGATTTGAACACATCATCAAGAAGGGTCAGTCGCAGGAAGAGGACAGCATGTTTGGTAATGTAGAAGGCCAAAAAGGGTAGGAGACACCATCAGTGACAGGATCAGGACAGTAGTCCTAACAGTGGACTCACACATGCCAGTAATCATGAGACTCGTATGGAACTGGACAGTGTTTCATTCTGTTGTATGTAAGGTTGCCCTGAGTTGTAGTAGACTCAGCAGTACCTATTTATTTTGTCTCTGAATTTTTTTTCCCTTTTATAATAAACTAATGAAAACTATTAGTATGCATGCAATCTCCTGTTTTCTTCAAGGTGCCTTTTATAGAACACTGTTAGGAAAACTGTTAGTCTGTCAATTTATAATGGTTCAACGTGACAGGTTGCTGAAGTTCTGAAGGTTCCTTCAAACTAAACTCACTACCATCAGGTGGATTTGGACTCACAGTAAACCGAGAGGCCACAGTAGAACTGCCCCGCTGGGTTTCCAAGACTGTAAATGTTTATAGAAGCTGACTGCCTCATCTTTCCCCCACAGAGCACATGGTGCCTTTGAACTGCCAGTCTTTCTGCTAGCAACCAAGCTACTTTACCCACTGCTCCTTGTTGTTTGTTGTTAAGTGCCCTCGAGATTGGTCTTCTGGATTTAGTTAACAATCAGCTGTGGACTGGAAGCCTCTTATTTCAATCAGTCAGGACATGGTGGGCAGGCCTTAGTATATAAAAGTCAGTTGGGCCTTCAGTCTCCAGTGTGGAGGCTTCTGTGTGAAACAGTTGTGAAACACTGCACCTTACACATTGGTAAATAGTGCACTGAACTTCCCAAGTACTCACTTTATCTAGAAGCCGCCTCATGGCTTCCCACAATGAGATAACCAATTGAAATTTTCTTCAGTAAGGAAATGGATGAACAGACATGTATATCAATTTAGTGGAATGAATAGTGCATTAATTATTGATACACATAACAACATGGATGATTCTCAAAGGCATTATGTAAAATGAAAGTCACCAGTCTTAAAGTGATTACATAATGTATGCTTCCATTTATATGACATGGAAAGGCAAAACTATAATGATGAGAATAAATTGGTGGTTGACAAGGACTAGGAGTGCAGGAAGGAAGTGCCAGATAACAGTGAGACCAGGTACGTTTTTTTATTGAATGAAAACCAACATCCCCCCCCACCAAGAGTCACTATACATGAGTGAGATATGTGCCTAATCAATATTTCTTGGCTGTTTTTCCTTTGCAAAACATTTCACCTAGCTTCTCAGTTAATTATTCTTCATCATGCGCATAGTTATTTATATCTCCATTTTATAGATGGGATAACAAAAGAATTTAAGTGACGCACACAGTACAGTTAGTAGGTGCAGAGATGTACTTGAACAACACTGATTCCAGTGCCAATGAATTTAACCTTTTACTTTATAACACTTGGGACTCCATTATTTGGTGCTTTAAAAAAAAAATGAGAAAGACTTGGCCATATTCCAAATACAGAATTTCATTATAATGTTAAGTATACCTTTTTTCATGTTCTACACGTAGGCCAAGAGACTTAGGATGACTCACAGAGAGGCATGTCTCCAATTGCTTGGGTGAAAAGCACTGAACTAAAAATTAACTATCTTTACCTTCTTTACATTACTGTGATCTTAATATTTGTGAGCTATAAAAAGCATTTTATGATTCTTAAGCCTTCATGTTATTTGCAAGCGGATATTTATACTTTGCTTAAAATTTGAACTGTATACTTCTTGGTTCTCATATCCTATTTGCAAGTACACTAAGCTGTATAAATATTAAGTATAAACTACATTGGCAATCCAAATTGTGTAGGTATATTATAGCAGAGTGATAGAATGGCCAGCAGGTGGAGACAGAGAATAGAAAGTCATTCTGATTTTGTGTTTCTTTAGTTTGTGGGAAATTTTTTCATGCCAATGTTTATACACATTTTATTTTAGAACATTGTAATTAAAATGTCAATCATTTGTGCAGTTTATAATGTTAATTTTAAAGTTATGTACTGTTGAGTCAGAGCCAACCCCTAGCTGACCCTTTGTGGATTTTCAGAGGCTGTAAATCCCTGGGAAGAGATTATGCATCCTTCTCCCATGGAGCAACTGGTGGATTTGAACTGTGAGGGTTTGGACTGGCAGCACAGCTCCTTAGCAGTGAGCCACCAGAGCTCATTTTTTAAAATGAATTAAAATAGATTAATTCATTGATTGCAATATCTGATCAATATATCATGTATTTCCTTTCCCTTCACCCAACTCAAAGAACTCTGCTAACCCAAAGATTCCAACGCTGGTGGTCTGAAACCATCAGCAGCTCTGCAGGAGAAGGACGAACAATCTTCTTGTATGATTTACAACATTAAAGAGCCTCTGAAGGGTCTGTTCTGAGTGCAGACCAGTGACTTCTTTGAATTTCTCAGCTTTTCTGTATGTTAATTTTATTCCCCTTCTTTTCCCAGGAATCAAAATAAATTCTGTGTATAAACATTCCCTTAGCTTTCTACCATAGTGGTCATGCACTATAATAATCTTTTATGACAATTTCTTTTACTGCTGATTTGGAGTGAGCATTTATTTGTACAATTGCAACATGCAGACACACCCAGGAAGGAGAGTTTGTGGTGTTGCCCTTTTTTTTTTTTTAATTAATTTTAATGAAAGTTTACAGACTTAAGGATTTCCAGTCATTGTTGCACTTTTCTCCCTACCCATCCCCTCCCTCCCAATTCACTCTTCTCCTTGAAATGAAAAAACTCTTTTATTGTTATGCAATCCTTCCCCCAAAGTCCACTCCACTATGCAGCCTTCATTCTGGACTTCTGTAATGACAAGAATATCCATTCATATGTCCCTTTTAAACAGTTATCTCCCTCATCTGTTTCAATGCAATATATATCATTCCTCCCCTCCTTTTCTGTCTTCTCTCAACCCCGATGTCAGTCCCGTTTTTTAACAGTGGCCCTATGCAATATTTGTCCTTTTGTGACTGAGATATTTCACTCAACATGATGTTCTCCACGGTCATCCATTTTGCATATTTCATTAGTTCCTTTTCAATGCTGCATAGTATTCCATTGTGTGAATATACCAGAGCTTCTCTATCCATTCATTTGTTGATTGGCACTAGGGTTGTTTCCAGCTCTTTGCTATTACGAAGACACAATAAATATGGGTGGGCATATATCTGCTTGGGTGGCATTTATGTTTTCTTCAGGGTAAATTCCCAGTTGTGGAATTTTTGGGTCAAATAGTATTTCTATTTGCAACTTTTTGAGAAAGCACCATACAGCCTTCCAGAGTGGTTGCACCATTTTACACTCCCATCAACAGTGAATAAGGGTTCCAGTTTCTCCACAAGCTTGCCAGCATTTGATGTTTGCTGTTCTGTTAAATTTTGCTACTCTGACTGGGGTGAGATGATATCTCATAGTTGTTTTAATGTGCATCTCTCTCAGAGCTAGGGATTTTGAAAATTTCTTCATGTGCTTGTTGGCCATCTGAATGTCTTCTTTGGTGAAGTGTCTGTTCATATTCTGTGCCCATTTTTCAATTGGGTCATTTACTTTTATCTTGTTGTGGTGCTCGAGTATTTTATAAATTCTAGATATAAGTTCCTTGTCAGACATGTCATTACCAAATATTTTTTCCCAATCTGTGGCTTCCCTTTTTACCCTATTGGAGAAGTTTTTGGACGTGCATAGGGATTTGATTTTTAGAAGGTCCCATTCATCTACTTTATCCTGTCCTGGCTGTAGATTTTCCAGGATGCTTGGAAGACTGTTTATGTTGTGGATTAGAACTTCTAGAGTTCTTCTAAGCTTTTCTTTAATAAAGTTTATAGTCCTTTGTTTAGTCCTAGGTCCATAATCCACTTTGAATTCGTTTTTGTGTATAGAGTGAGGTGAGGATCTTGCTTGAGTTTTCTGCAGATGGTTTTCCAATTTTGCCAGCACCATTTGTTAAAAAGGCTGTCGCTTCCCCACTTAACTGATTTCATCTCCTTGTCAAAAATCAGTTGACCATAGGTAGATGGGCTGATTTCCATGAATTATTTTTTTTATCTGTTACTGGATTCAGGATTTTTTACATATATGTTTATGAGAGATATTGGCCTATAGTTTTCTATTTTGGTGGTGTCTACCTGGCGTATCACGATGGGAAAGTCTGTGGTTAGGGACCTCTCCAAAATACTCAAGAGCAACAGTGTCTCTCTGGAGACTAAGGTCCGCCTGATACAGGCCATGGTTTTTGCAATCACTTGTTATGCATCAGAGAGTTGGACAATGACTAGGGAGGATAGAAGGAGAATTGACGCCTTTGAGCTGTGGTGCTGGAGAAGAGTATTGAATGTACCATGGACTGCCAAGAAAACAAACAGATTCATTGTAGAGAGGATTAAACCAGGCTGCTCCTTGGAGGCAAGGATTCTGGGGCTTTGTCTGACATACTTTGGACATGTTGTAAGGAGAGACAGGTCTTTAGAGAGGGACATCATGCTGGGTAGAGTAGAGGGACAGCGCAGGAGGGGAAGACCCTCTATGAGGTGGATTGATTCAGTGACTGGGGTACTTGGGATGGGTGTGTCAGAGGCAATGAGATCGGCACGGGATAGAGCACGGTTTAGGGCTGTTGTACATAGGGTCGCTATGAGTCACAAATGACTCGATGGCACATAACAACAACAACAACCTGGCTTTGATATCAAGGATATATTTCCTTCATAGAATGAGTCTGGGAGAATTTC